TGGAGGGAGTGGGGGGTTGGTGGGGGTGGGGATGGGGGTTGTCAGTAAAGGAGATTTCGCTCCGAGTTCCGGTGTGTGGAGAGGGTCAAGTATGGTCGACAACTACTGTGTTAAAACACAAGACATCATCAAGCAAACAACACTAAGCCAACGCTCAGTTTTGCTCATTTGGAACCGGAATACATTAACATTTATATGATTTATTGTCATGCTGCCTGTGGTAATATCGTATAGCATACAGAGAAATACAAACTTGTCGGTAAAATACTCAGGTTATTCAAGAAGTAGGTCAAATATATACAGACACTGCTGCAGTACATTTCTTATCACGCACAATAACACAATCACATTTCACTTCACGGATCGAGATTCTATGGTTGGACGACAACAAAAGGGTTGACGCCCACTTACTGACACATCCAAAGAAAAGAGGGGAAATCAATTTGGAAATTTTGATGAGAGAATAAATCAGAATACTAACGAGACAATGAATTGAGTACTACTCTACTCAGAAGGTAAGAGCTGGTTTCAAACTAACTTTCAACTGCACCATACGCCATCTCTTTGGCAAGGCGCTATTGTGACAAAAAAGGAATATCTGCAATGTCATCAGATCTCTACCAGACTGAACGAAATACAACAATTATCAAAGGTCACTTTTGTTTTAAACAGTGACTACCCGACCTTGTACAAGCAGTGGCATTTGGAAAACATACTTTTGCGAGCGAAATTAAGAGTCCAAATGAAATGTTTAAAATTGCATTGCAGGCTACTGTGATTTTCTCGAGACAATCAAGGGTGAATAATTTACTTCTTTCAAGCTTCTTTAGCAAGGTGCTACTGAATATTCTTACCTTACCCTGTATCCTTATCCCCCCCCCCCAAAAAAAACAACCAAAAAAAACACAACAACAACAACAACAACAACCCAATAATATATTATTATGTTTGAGAATAGCAATTTTTCGTTAACTGCACACACAAAGAAACCTTTGGAAGGACGACAGATCGGCCTAACAGAAACCTCTGTTTAACCCTATCCGTACGCCCTCGGGTCATTTTGTACCCCCGGGGTTGTATTCTTCACATTTTAGAATACTTCTAGTACGAAGATCTCTTTGAAACTTTCAGTATTTCTCAAAGGATCACTTT